AAATACGAAGACCTACTTTGGAAGGCCGCTGTGGTCCAAAAAGATCTATGCAATGTCCTAGGTGGACACGTGCACCAATCTATCCTTTCTTTTGTTGGCGGTGGTCTTTTCCCTGCCTATCTTGCAGTACAAAGGCGGCGAAATATGCGCCCAGTCTATTTTTTGCGCCTCCAAGAAGTGTCCCCAGACGGGCGTGGTTGCATGTTCCACCGTGCAGCCCTCCAGTACGCACTCGGAGCATCGGCTGGACAGGAAYAGAATGGTCCTTTCTTTGCCCCTGTAGGTGGTTTTTGCATAGCGCCAGCATTGGTATTCGCCCTCCTGCATGTGTAGCGCCTGCACGCATTCTTTGTTTGGCGGCGCTGGAACTTCCAGTAGTCTGGATGGRTTTTTGGGTATTGCATAGTCTATCTTTGCCGCCAATTCGTGGTAGGTGTCCAAACCGGGGCCTTCCGGTACGAAGATCGTAGCTGCGTTGTTTTGCCACTCCAACAGTACTTCTTCCCCAGGTATGGCGGTGTGCACGTAGCCGCTGCTTTCGAACTTTCCCGCCACAAATGCATCCAGCATTGCAGCTGTAGCCCAAGCCACCGACGCTTCCTTGCCGCTGCGTAGGACTACGCGGTGCCCTTTGGCGTGCCAATCGGGGTCTTTGTTCCTTGGTTCTGCATATCCTAGTATTTTGTAGTCGCCCGGGGGTATTTCTTGCATGCGGTGTACCTTCGTATGTGTTTCGAACAGCAGCTCGCACAGCTTGCCGCTACGCCGGCGAGTCCTATCCAACAGCTTTTTGTGCTTTTCCAACTCTTCTTCTATCTTTCGCCTGTCTGCTTCTTTTTGCCGCAGGATGTTCTGCTTTTGTTCCGACAGTTCTGCGTGGTATCTTTTCGTGGCTTCTACCCCCTCGTCGCCTTCCAAATCGTCCCGTATGTCTTCCAAGCGCTGCTGTCGTCTTCTTTTGGATAGGAAGGAGATCCTGCGGTCCGTAGGCACTTCCAAGATGCCGAATGGGCTCTTTTCTACTCCCAAGCGCTGCGCCTTCTTCGTACGCCATATCCACTCCACGTGTTCCGTAGTTGGGAGAAAGTCTGCGATGGTAGGAGCATTCGCATGCACGCGGGTGGGGAACTTGGATTCTGCCAGCACCGTCGGGGAGTCCTTCGTGTAGCATCGCAGCGGGGCTATTTCCACTGGATCCAATTCTTGCACGTCTATGCGAAATATGGGGCATCTGCGCAGGCCAAACTCTGCTATGGTCCAAAGTACGCACTGCTCCCACTTTTCGTTGCCYCGCACGCGCACACCGGCTATTCTTCCTGTTCCCACATGGCAGTACCAAGCTAGGAAGATTTCTTTTGTCTCTTCGCAGCAAATACACAAACATCTGTCCAAATGTTCGGCAAGCGCCAACCACATGTTTTTGGGTGGCTGCCCCACAAATATGTCTTCTAGCGGTGCTATGGTTTCCGCAATGGCATTGGTGTGTTCTTTGGAGAAGTCTCTGCTGTAGATGGATATTTCCACGCGGGTACAACCTCTTTTCTGCACGTCGGGATGCAGGAATGTTCTACGCAGGTGGTCGTTCGGACAATCCACGTACTCTGCCAACTTTGCGCCTACTGGATTCTGCACTTCTCCGGCTTCGAAGTTGGATACTATTTTGTTGTATATTTTTGTCCGTTTGCCCTTTTCCAGCCAGGTGCAAACGTGTTCGCCCACCGAGTGCGTGTTGTCCAGTATGGTACCTTCGCGCCAACCAGCTTCTCCTTGTTCTTTGTAGCCCATTTGCCGCAGGCGGCGCACCAATGCAACTCTATCCAAAGTACCAGAGAAATCCTGCGTGTAGTCGACGGAATAGATGCCATATCCGTGTGCTTGTAGCAAGGTGGAGAACTTGGCAATGCCTTTCTCTACGGCTTCTATGGGCAACTCGGAGGTGTCTACTTTGGCTACGAATGTGGCTGCATGTTCGCCGTGCAGGCTATTCCACTTGTTGGACAAATGGGCTACGCGGTCTACTATGTTTCCTTTTCTACACGTGTGCGCCATGTTGGTCGGTAGGAACATTCCAAAGGCTTCCGTGGCCGCAATGGATATCTTGGAGACTATTGCCTTTGCATTTCTGCAAACCCGCCCATACAAGTCTTGCTCGGCGACGAAGCCATACACGAATACGTCGTCTACGAATGGCGGCAATCCTCCTAGCGGCTACAAACTGGTAGTACCTTCGTTTCCACGCAAGTAGTCGCATTTGGATATGTCCGGTAGTAGGTTTCCGTCGTGGGCATTGTCCAGCAGCAAATGTGCTAGCAGCCTACTTTTCGCTCGTATGCCCATCTCTTGCAATGTCGTTGAAATAGTCTTTTGGAAGTCCATCTCTATATATAGAGGGAGAAGCAAATACTACGAATGGGGCCTTTGTTGGACAACGCACATCTTTTGGGACGCGGATTGGCATCTTTTGGGACACGGTTGCACATCTTTTGGGAAAACAATCCATACACTCTTCTAGGGAAGCGTCCCCGATATCTTTTGGAACACGGCTGCACATCTTTTGGGACACGAAAAAAAGGTAGTCGAAACATGGTTGTCGAGGCACTGACAATCCATACACTCTTCTAAACTTACCACCGCGGGAGGAATCTTCGAAGAACTCCCTAACCAGCTTCCCCACGCAGTTACCAGGATGACGCATCGGTTTGAGCTTCTTAACATCCGGCTTCTTGATCTCATAAGCAGCGTAGATAACTACGGTAACCGGGTAAGCAACTTCGTAGAACAGCATGTCAATGCCCACCAGTGCTCCAGGACGCGTGTCCTTGTTTAAAACAAACAAGCTTTGCCTACCAGACGCCCGTATTGGATTACGGCCCTTTTCTATCACCCATTCGCCGTCCAAATACTTTATAAAAGTCAACTCCAAACGGTAGTCGCCTTCCGGCATCAAATCGATTATCCTTTCTGCTCTTTCCTCGTCCATCGTCTCGTCTGTATCTCCCTCCATATACGTTGTGAAGGCAAAATCCGCATCTAGGCGATCCAACACCTGAGTCCTGAGCTTGCGCACGGTTTTGTTTCGAATGCTTTTGATGGTGTCCATCTATATCTAAGAAATATTTTAACCCTCATTTACGACCTTGCCCATCGTTTCGACTACCTTTTTTTTTCAACCCCCCAAACACAGCAGCAGTAAGGACACATCGCGAGCTAACAGTGTAACGCACCAACTTCACACGGGTAATTCCCATGCCGTCAAAAAGTTTCATATAGACGCTAACGCGGGAATTCCCCGTAAAAAGGTGATAGGTTCCTGGGGAAATCGCGAGTCCCCCTTACTGCTGCTAGTTTTGCTTTGACATCAATCGGGATTCCTGTGTTGTGTACACGGACGGACGGACGGAAGTGACGTCAGCCAAGCCATGAAAAATCAACTCGATGCTTTACCATTTTTTCTTAAGTATGGTGCTCCGCTATAATATAGTAAGTCACGTAATTAATTAACAATTACGTAATAATCAATATCCATAATAAAATTTCCAGCAATCATAATGAATTTATAGTACTTTCCTCTCTTGTATGATTATTTGTACAAATAACTACATTAGATACAGAATTGGGAAACCAAAATATTTTTGTTAAACTGCCGCTATTCATTTTACATCCGTCTTCCAATCAAAATAATAGGAGTTTAGTTCCAAAAAAAATTAGCTTGAAGTTAGCCTTGTTTTGTTCTTGTTTTCTTTTGGAAGAATGAAAACTCAACAGTCTCAAATATACTTATCATATTGTTTCATCAGAGGCTGTTTTTCTTCCCACATAAATAAGGTAAATTATTTTTTCCCGTTTTTCCCTTTTTGATATAAAAGTAAGTAAACCGAAAAGTTATGTTTCGTGTTTTTCGAAAAAATTCTTTGATAAATTTAAACAAATGTATTGACGTAGGACAGCAGGTTTCATTCAAAGTGTTTCCCATAGTCAAAATAAAACTGAAGTTTCTTTCCGATATCTTGGCTTTTGTGGTTTTAATGGCCGGATAGCAACGTTGTTGTTCTTCCATCATTGTTGGAGCCATAAAAACCTAAAAAGCCCTGAATTAATCCTATTTATACGCTTGTCAGTGTACAGCTATAAGGTGAAGGCTGGGTCTTTGAGTTTCTCCTTCTCGCAAGTCATGGACTTCAACGTCACTAATTCCACCCTCAACACCTCGACTATTTCTCCTGATCCTCAACAAACCCGGTTCGTGGAAAGCATCACGAATGTCGCTTAGTACAGCTCCAGCTTAGTAGCTTCCTTGTTGGTAATGAACACCGCCACGGAAATTCTAACTTTATTGGGAAACCTGACTGTCATTGTGACTGTAGTTGCATACAGGCAACTTTGGGTACCCACGAATATTCKGGTTGCAAGTTTGGCAGTTGCAGACTTCATCATCGGCCTCATCTTGCAGACAAGTAATGTAATGAGTATATTCAGCGCTTTCACAAATAGCAAGAGAGCGGTCCGCTGCACAGGGAATCGTGATTCATATTGTGCTATAATGTTAGAATCGATTGGTGTCGTAACCATGACAGTTACTTTGGCTCACCTATCGCTCATAACACTTGATAGATACGCTGCCATCGTTTATCCCCTACGATATGTAACCATCATGACGATATCCCGTACCAAAAAGGCTGTGATGTGCGCCTGGACGACCAGCTTTGTCTTTGGGTTCTTGGCGACGATTCCTTCGCCTTTTACAAACGGAATGAGAGCGCTATGGAACCTATTCATGTTGCTATCCTGTTTGTTCATGATTACTCTTTATGGAAAGCTTTACTTTATCTCGAGAAAACATACCAAACAAATCCGTGATGAAATCCAATCTGTCAATCCTGGAGCTGAAACTAAGGAAGAAAGACGAGGCCTGATGACTATTGCGATAGTAACCGTAGCCATGGTAACCAGCTATTCAACGGTCGTTGCTCTAGATATTGATAGCAAAATAGCTTCAGGAGAAAGAGGAGAAACTGCCAAGCTCGTTCATGATATCTTGACACAGTTCGCAATCATATTGATTCTCTTCAACTCTGCTCTCAACCCCCTGGCGTACTTCTTCAGGAGTCAAAAACTCAGGACTTACAGCCTTAAACTATTCAAGTCCATTCCCACAAGAATACAGGAATACTTTTGAAACTGACTTTTTGCAACAGAAGGTAGAAGGTTGAGGGCTCGAACGTAAATCATTACAAGGCAGATTAAGGAATAAGAGGCGTGAAGTCCAGCAACTTCGGGAGATTTTACTTTTTTTAGAAAAGAAAGCTTTAAAAGTTTAACAGCTTTAAAACTTCAGCCTTAAAACTTCAGCAATGAGAAAAAGTAATGATAAAAGGATAAATCATACACCGTGAAACTATTTCGCGTTGGAACTGCATATTCATTGCATAGTTTATTCCATTTTGTGCGATTGTTTGCTCGATGCAAAATTCAGTGGGCGTGCGGAAACGTCTGAGCATATAATTATAAATAAGAACAAATCATTTTAAAATTCCTGTCGTATATCCTTTTCTCACCTGTTTTAGTTCAAAAAGCAACACTTTTCTTGTCAAGTTTATTCTTCGTTTGCACGTTACCTCATCGCGGCCATGTTGGTACCATTTAACAAAAGATTTCTCATTAGCAATCATTGTTAACGGTACGACAATGGCCGCCATGTTTTTGTCTTTTAACTCTCTTGGAAATGCTTGCAACCCATCAATACTTCGTGTTGGTTAACTTAACAACCGTTACCACGTTTCCTTAGAGTCCATAAATAGCAACTTTCAATTACTTGATCACATAACATCGGCTTGGAACTAATATTCGTAGTCACTGAACGGAAATGTAAAAAGGAGTATTAGTATTCTTTGCACCAGATTTATATATATATTGACATACCTGGGTTTTTACTGTATTTCAATTTGTTAATTAGTAAAATATATTGATGTACTTTAAATAGAAAACATTATATGTAATATAAACAATATGAGTGGCCGTGTTGTATCAGATATACAACCACAACCATGTAAGGGAATCCGGAATCCCGAATCCACGAAATTTTAGGCTTTGGAATCCGGAATCCGGAATCCAGTTTATAATGGAATCCGGAATGCACCCTTTTGGAACCCGGAATCCGCTACTTTGAAATTCAAAGTCTACCCTCAAATGCTATCGCCTCGACCTAGACTGAACCGATGTAGCCCCTCCTGCACTATGTAATATCTCCACCAACAATATCTGTCGTCAGATGCAAATTAACGATATGGAATCCGGAATCCCCAATACAAAAGTTTTGAAAACCAGAATCCAGACCCTTGGAATCCGGAATCCAGCGCTTGGAATTCGAAATGCACCATAGGTCCGGATTCCCTTACATGGGGCGACCGCTACCAAAGCATTTACTTGTTTAACTTTCATTGCGGAAAGAACACGTTTCATATAAAGAAATAAAACTCTTCATATGGAAAACCAAACATCGTACAAGTAAAAGTGAGCTTATATTTTGCTAAACGTTTTTTAACCATTCCCGTATCGAGTGTTGATTTGTCCTTAAAAAGTTCGGGAATCTCCAAAATTTGGACTTTTATGAAATACAACTAAGGTAAATATCTCTAACCTTTTATATTTTATTGAACTGTCTGTACTGTAGTTATTTTTAGTTTTTCAAGTGAAAATAGCCAGGAATTCAAAGCGTAAAAAATGTCGGCCATGGAAAACTTTATCAAAGAACTTTTCAAGAACAAAACTAGACCCTGGGGTGGAAATTCCTAAAGCCTGGTTTTCTATTTAATCGAAAACGATCGAAAAAATATTTTTCGATCGTCCGTGATCATATGGAACCACTTTTTTCGATCGTACAATCGAAATGTATACCATAATATATCATTTTTCCAAAGATGCAATGCTTCCTAAACTGTAATGCCATAGCAACGGTTTGCTTGTTGTCAAACTATCAGCTGGTGTTTGAAGTAACAACCAGTAAATTAATAGCGGAACTCCCAGTTGATCTTTCATGGCTTGGCTGACGTCACTTCCGTCCGTACGTCCGTTCGTACGTCCGTCCGTACGTCCGTCCGTGTACGCAGGAATCCGGATTGGCTGGTTAGATTATCTTTTTTTTTTTTTTTTGGCGGGAATGTCGACGCGTTGCAACATCTTGGTACACATAAAGGTAAATCCGGCTATTAAACTTTCGTAAAAAACGTTTTTACACCTGCTAATACGAATAGAAATACCGAAGGATAACAACACAATTTTTTATTCAAGCTTATATTTATATTCATCTTTACTCTATTTACGATGGAACCCCTTTCCGAAATCGATATGTCGAAAGAAAGGTCAGAGGAGAATGAACCAGAAGAAAGGCCAGAAGTAAAAGTGTTTTTTCGGAAGAGGAAAAACTCTGGAGGCGTGAAAAAGAAAGGCAAAGACGAAGGACTCTCACCAAAGAAAAGCGGCAAGCAGAGAGAGAGAGAAAAAACGCAAATCCAGGCGGGACTTCGATTATGAACAAGGAGAACATGATCGTGAAAGAAAAAGAAATATGAGGCAAAACTTGACGGATGAACAAAGAGAAAATGAACGTGAAAGACAAAGGAATTTGAGTCAAAACTTCACGGATGAACAAAGAGAAAATGAGCGTGATAGACAAAGGAATTTGAAGCAAAACTACTAGCTAAGGCGACTCTCACATGCACAGAAAAAATCGCTTTAGAGCAAGTTATAGACCAAAGACAATTTAAAAAAACTTTCATGTATTCAAAGATGGATTAAGAAGTGTTCTCCAAGAATTCAGGTGTGTGTTGTTTAGCAAACAATCGTATATTATTATTTTTTTACAAGCATTTTTTCTCCACGAATCGACAAATCTAAGACTTTCCCTCAAAACTTTTAATATTTCTGTAGATAAGCTTAATTTATTTTAATACTGGAGGAAATATAACATGAAGAGCATATTACAACAAATATTCGTCCTTTGTCTAGCTTTGTAAATCATTAACAATTCAGTTGTTTTTAACCAACTATCATATGTTTTTCGTTCAAGAAAAATTCAGCTATATTGAATGAAATGTAAAATTACACCAAACATTCAACTGTTTATTAAG